TGATCAAGCAACGGTTGACCAGCTGGCTAAATTTTTTCCGCTTTCCCATGCTAAATCCAAACTCCATGCTGGCGAACTATGTGAAACAACCACCACTGGAGATTGTCTAAGTAGCTCAGCAAAAGAAATTCTGGACACACTATCAGTGGTCAAATAAAAGCTGAAAATATTTTGTATGATTCCAAGGGTCTTAAGTATCCCGTGATTTCTGCCAAGGACATAACTGTAGCATCCCAAGAAACTAAACATGTTTTTAGTCCCTTTAAATACAGTGACTTTTGTTTTAGCCCCAGAGTATTTGTTACCATTTCCATCCCTCATTGTTTTAGAGTGTGGACTTCATGTCCTTGACTCCCTACATATTTCCTTGTCTGTTACGTATAGATGAGAATGTCAGTCAGCATTGCCACATGCCCAAATTTATCTTGAATCGATTAAAATGTGGCAAAAATTTACTAAAAGTGTAATGTCATGTCATCATCTTCCTCTCTACTTCCAAACCTTAACTACCCAGTTTCCTCCCTCAACACATAAGTTATAATGGCGCTGACCACCACACTTCACGCCCTTCTTTCCCACACAGTCAGGCACAGTCCTCAGAGTCATTTCCCTCATTTCCACTGTCATCCTCTCCTTTTACCTTTTCTGTTCAAGAATGAAAGTATTTCGTGGAGATCTTGACCTTTATAGAGAAAAGAGAATGACCAACTTTTTTACTTAATGTTCCTCCATCTATTCAAAAAATAAAGATAACCAACATTTCCACCATTCTGTTTCCATAAATCAATCTAATTCCCTACCCAAAAACCTACAATCTGTAATAATTAATTGTAGAATGATGGGTCAGTAAAAAGAAAAGAAGGAACTGAGTTTAAGATACAAGAAACCATCAGCCCCTTTGTCAACAACAATGATGAAACTGATAACCCGACCAGCAGCAATATGATTGGCGAAATTGTTTCACAACAGGACAGAGGAACAATGGCTTACATGACATGATTACATGACTCGCGTTACCACTTATGAGTCTGATAAAGAATAACTAGAGCAGTGCACTAGACAATTGATCTAATAAATTTTTTTATCTTCTGGACAGAATAATAAATCCAAATCATATTCCTGATATTTATAATCATGAACTGTTGTTGAACAATTGTCTTAATAGCCAACCTCAACCCACAAAAACAACCCCCTTTTTGATAACCACTGCAGCAGCAGCCACAACAACCAACCATACCTCCAACATACTTAAACCATTCATTCTCCAATAAAAGGATAGCCTCTATAGTTTTACCTAATATTTTGGACCACCAAAACTCCAATTTCTTTTTTTGTCAGCACTTGTAAATTTCACAATACAATTTTCAGTTTGCATAAAAGCATAGAATTTATCCTCTGAAACACCTCACAACTGATCTTCAGTGTGTAAACCAGTCAAATTGGTCAACATTTCAACATCGCTATCACAAGACTGACAAGAACATGTTATAGAATAGTTTTGGTGATACACAATTCCACCTATAATGCAGTTAATAAATAACAGAGGCTTAATCCATAAAATTAATAGCCCTAATGAAACATCTTGTACAATTATTCGACAAACCTGATTCTTTGATATGACCGATAATATTGCTTCTTTCTCTTTATAACCAGGGAGATTTCTACGAAATTCTAGCATTCTTTTTCCTTCAGATGACTCCTGAAATGAAAAGGTAAAATGTCAAGAACATTCAGCTATTTTGTTGTCTAAAGGTAAGAAGAAGAGAAAAACAAAGACTTCGAATTGTAATTATAGTTTATATAAAAATATTGACCACACGCTCTTATTTAAAATAATACTAGACTCCTTTCTTAATTAAACAAAGAAAACAATCATAACAAATATTAAACACCTAATTTTAACTATTATATAAAGAAACTATTCATCAAATATATAAAAATAGTAAAACTAATCCTGAGATAATCTAAGATATTTTAGATTACTCCAAGACATGACCCAATATTATGACACTCTATCTCAAGCTAAAGCTAACTAAAGTTAATTAAACATCCTAAACCCTAGATGCTATATTCTCACAAATAATCAGAAATTCAATTTTTTTTTTCATTTTCCTTTTTGTGCTTTTTTCAAAAGTTAATCAAACATCCTAGACGTAGATACCAGATATAAAAACAGTTGTGGAGTGTTATTCAGTTGCAGTCACAATAGCATCAGGCTGGGCTCCATTGCAACCTATTGCACACATGGTATTTTAGCATGACTCTCAAAAACCCCATACAGCCATTAAATATTAAGATTCGGAGAGAAATTTAAGGGGACCTCAGGCATTTAATGTGCAGTTCAATGCCTCCCAAAAAGACTAGAGCATTCTTCTAAATTAAACAGCCCAGTGGTAGTAAGGTCATAAATTGTCTGACCCACTATCTAACTTGCGATCTTGACAGCAAATAACAATGACTAATGACCATGAAGAAGAACCGTCGAAACTTTTTCTTTTAACCTATTACTAGATAAGTTAGACATGAACACAATAGCCATCTTCCATACCCCAACCCTCAAAATGAAAGTTCAAAGAAAACAGAGGACTATAAGTAAAATGTAAAGAAGACCTTCACTTTTCTTCCCCCCCCCACAATAAAACGATGCAACACCTCATGTAACATCTTACAAGGAATATAAATTACCTAGTAACGAAGTTAATATCGATATCTTTTGACTCTGAATTGTAAAAAAACTAAAGTGCACATGAACTATATCACAAAACCAAACAAGGAAGACATAACATAATTTTATATCCAAGTTAAAGTAACCTGCCAAGCTTGTTGCACAACCCGCATTTGTAAGCTTCTCTGCCAGAGAATTTTCTCCACAACAGCCTTACTGGATGCTAGCGGCTCAGGCTGTTCAAAAGGCCCTTCATCTGTACCAAGACTGCCGTCACTGCTTGACAAATCTGAAAAGCTTTTGTTTGTCCTGGACTTTCGACTAAGGTATTCCTCAAAATGTGCACCAACCCGCCTGAACACGGTGATAGGCATGCTCACCTATCAATTACTGAAAGCTTTACTAAGGTGTGTTGTATAAGTAATAAATTTATTATATCAATGAGCTTTGTTAAGAAATTACATAAAAAATTCATCATGCTTCACATGAACTCAAACAGAAGAATAAAAAGGAAGAGCATTTAAGAAACCCCTAAATCATAGGAAACGGGAAAGTAGAAAACAAAACCGCATAGCGAGATAGATATATACCTCCCTCTGAGGCCTCCTTTCGTCCAAATCATATCTATAGTTGGGAAGTGGCACCTTACTGAAGACAGCAACCTTGGAATACATATGACTGCCATAAACAAGTGCGATTGAATTGAGCAAAAAAGACCAGACGAAAGAATACTTGTGATTTAATTTTGAAACACAATACTATTCAAACCAGATAAAAAGAAAAGAAACCTATACAAGCCCATTCTAGTTGCCAAAACTGATATTTCATCAAAATCACGCCTATCTTTTTTCTCCCTTGAAATCAACTCTTGCTTACTCTCATCACTTAACAGCATTGTAAATTTTGGCTTCCACTCCTGCATGATATCATTGGGGAAACCACTCTGCACACCAAATTTGGGAACAGAGAAAATTAAACATCGCTACGAGAGAATAGAGAAAATATAAGATGAAACGATTTAAGTAAAGTCACCGGTAATGAAGGAACTTCAACTTCGGAAACGACGTCGTCGTAAGCAGAAATGAAGCGCTTGTCCGATAAGGGGGTTTGAAGAGTGGTAGGTGTGGGTATATGATTTTCGCGGAGTTTGACGGAGTGTGGAGTGGGGGAGTTAGCGAGGTGATGACGGAGCGGAGACGGTGGTGCGGAGGAACGTAGATGGCGCCATGGGAGACAGCGAGGGGCGGTCCTTCATGGGGAGAAATGGAAGATAGGTTTTAGGGTTTTGGGAATGGAAGTAGTGGGCAACATGCAAACCGTGTGAGTGTGTCAGTGTGTGACGGAAGAATAGAGTCAGTGAAAAGGAGATGGCGAACGATGGTCGTGAGATCTCTCTTTCCCGCTCGTCATAGTGTGTGCTAGTAACGTTGACGCCACGTCACTCCGGACACCAACACGTCTGTGTATATGTTTTTGAGGAGAAGATAAATATGTGGAAATATCAAGTTATGTTATTTTAAAAAAAGTACAAGTATATTACACTCTCAATATTTTATTTTATTTTTTAAAAATTTTAATGATATAATAGATTATTTATTTTTTATTAGTTGATTAAGTAAAAAAAAAATTATGCTGACCGTGTATAAATATTATTCTCTAAATTTAAACTATTTATTTTTATCTATAGAAGAACAAAGTTTGGGTTTAATGATTATGTCTTCTTAGTATAAGATAATTTTACACTGTCATCTTAAAGTAAATTAATCATTTGTTATGTTATTAATTATTTTTTTAAATAAAAGAGTGGTGTATCATGATACATGATCGTGATTAGTTGATAATTAGAATTAATTTACACTATTAATGCATCATTTATTTGATGATGTATCCTAATATATAATTGTAATTGATTTGATAATGTAAAATTAATTTACACTGTCAGTACATCATTTATTTTCTAACAAAAATTTTCTTTTAGTAGTACTATTTTAGCTTTGTGACGAGATGTTTACCTTGTGTATCATATTCTATTGCATTATTAATAATTAGGTTAAATCATTTTTCCCATATCTTTATCTTAAAATACATTTTAGTCTCATAATTTTTAAAAAGTGAATGTATATAAATCAAGGTCGCTTTAGTTGTTGGACAACATGGTGTACCATTAGGTTACTCTGTTATTAGTGATTAATTTTATAAATTAGATATATATTTATATTTCTTTTTTTTTAAATTTTGTCTTTTTAATTTATAAGGTTAATATTTATTTTGTCCCCTATCGTATAGACGAGTTTTGAAAAATTCTCCTACTATATGAAGATTCTTTCGTTATGCCCCTCGAAAAATTTAAGCATAAAAAATAATAACATAACAGGAGGATTTTTCAAAATTCGCCAACTTTGCAAAGGAATTTTCATAAAATCGTCAATTTGGCAAGAGTAAAATATGTATAAATCCTTAAAAACAATGGGCAAATTACATGAAATTTAATAGATTATTGATGGATAAACTTCTTGAGGGGACAAGATCGGATACCAAGATTTTAAAAAAAAAATTAATTTTTCACAATTCAGTTGAAAACATCATAATAATTAATATTTACAACTAAAAGTTAAATTTAATACTTGAAAGTGTAAAATAAAAATATCACAATAGAAATAAATTATTACAACCAAAAAACCTTCCCAAAACAAAAACAAAAGCAAAAAATATTTCAATAACAACAACAATTGAAAAATATGAAATTAATGATTCATCTAATCTATTTAGGCTCATCCAAAACAAAAATAAAATATTTAATGCTAGAAACCCTTGCTTGATAAAATCATAGATAATAAAAACTCAAAATTATCAGTATTAGTTCTTACCTTTCCAAAACTTAAGAAGAAAGACGGATAAATATTGTAAGCCTTGTCAATGGAATTGAGCTGCCAAGCTTTTGGGTTCTTCTCAAGAAATGTTGTAATAGTTCTAAACTGCACAATACTGAAAAAGCAGAAACAGTGATTTGTGAGTTGAATAATTTCATAACAAATGCTTGGCAAGAGAATCGTTAATAAGATCTAGTATAAGATCCTCTAAATATACCTGTAGAAATTGCAGGGCGAGTATAAGATATATTCTGGATACCATAGATATAGCAGTCAATTCCAATGTAGCACATTTTTTAGATTTACTATATAGTACTTGTAAGTGGAGCTTTTTTAATCAGTTAAGAGCAAATGAAACAATAAGAAATTATGAGTGAGGCATGGGCCAAGCTAAGGTACAACTCTAGTTCTATATCAAATTTGAGTTACACTACAAACAATTGGTTCCAATAATGAGACCTCTGAGAAATACCATAGCTTAGATTATGAAGATCCTTATGTACATTTGAACAAATTATATGAGCTCGTTGGTACTCTCTGAACACTAAAGGAAGAGGAAGAAAGTGTTTTCATGAGACTAATATCTCATGGATGTCATTATAATGGAAAAAGAATTGTTGAAAAGGTCATCAATTTTTAAGAATGCTTATAGTCATGTTCAGAGTTAAGACAATTGCCAAAGACCGAGTATCATTTATAAGCGGTGTATCTTTTTAAAACATTTCTTAAAAATGAGTATATATTTGTCACAGTTATTATCTAACCAAATGGATATATACAGTGGCTGCACTTAAAGTTGAAACAAAGATTGTTGTAAATTTCTTCAAGAATAATATATTTAGTAGAGTTGACATCCTAAAAGTATTAATTAGTGATGGAGGGTCACACTTAAGTCGTGTTCATATAACTTGTGTAAACGTAATCACATGGAGATTAGCTTACATATATAAGTGTGGAAGAAACATATAGAATACATCTAACTAACTACTACTTCATGCAAAATAGTTGTAAGGTTAATAGTTATTTTGCCTCCTATCATATAGGCGGGTTTTGAAAAATCTCCCTGTCATATGAAGATTCCTGCATTTTTCCCCCTCAAGAAATTTAAACATAAAAAATAATAACATGACAGGGGAACTTTTCAAAATTCGCCAACTTTGCAAAGGGTTTTTCAAAAAGTCGCCAATTTGGCAAGGGTAAAATATGTATAAATCCTTTAAAACAATGGACAAATTACATGAAATTTAATAGATTATTAATGGGTAAACTTCTTGAGGGGGCAAAACGGGGAAATCTTCATATTGCAGGGGGATTTTTGAAACTTTTATTTTTACAAGGGGTATTGTAAAACTCGCCTATATGGCAGGGGCAAAATAGCTATTAACCTAATTTGTATATTTGACCGTATGTAACTAACAGACAACAGTAAAATCAAGTCCTAACTCACCTAAAGCTAGTTACAAGCAATAGTTTGCACACTTCCTCTAGAGGGAGAAGCTTTATTCAACATAAATTGTATAATTCCTAAAAAATAAAAACTCCAGCAAACAAATGTGTATGAAATACATCTAAATAAATGAGAGAAAAATTTAAATGTTAGGGAAGACGATGACAATTGGGGTAGGCACCCAGGAAACATCTATAACAATGTACATAATACAATAATGAAGAATGGATAAAGGTATGTATGATAAATTAAAGGACTACTAATATTGAAATATAGTTCAAAAAAGTATTTGAAAACCTTAAGTGAAAATAGTACAGTATGTAAGTATTTGGTGCACAATCTAAGAAATGGCGAATTAGGTTTAATGATATTTTTAGAGATTTTAAACACTTTTTGGTTTCTTGTAATTTTCTGGAATTATAAACATATGAATAAATAAGAAACAGAAAAGTAAAGAGAAGGAATGAAAATAACAGAGATATTGTAACGCCCCAGATTTTCATCCGAGACAAAAATCAGAAATACCAAAATACTTGTTTTAAACAAAAATAAAATGGTTTAAAAAAAGAAACAATTCAACTTCAATTAAAATTCTTAAGCGGAAAATCACCGCACTTATAATTCAAGGAAAAATACTAGATAAATAATTCTAAAATGTAATGTAGTTGATTCATTTATTTATAATTTTGTTTTAAAAAAAATCCCTTCTTATCCGCGATCACATATCAGGCAAATATCAATCACTTTGAAACTCCACATCGGTACCTAAAATATTGTTGTAAGGGTCAAATTCCATGTCAAAAATAAACTAAACAAGAGTTAAAAACCAGACAAATATAAATACGCCATATCATGTCCAAAAGAGTTAGATAATAAAACGATTTCACCAAAGTTATTTATATCAAACTGTAACCATAACCAAATGCATATGAAGTAATTAACTCAAGATTAACAACACCAACAACTAGGAGTGGCAAAACGGGTCGTAGCCCATCGGGGCGGCCCGCGCACCCGCGAAAATATGGCGGGTTGGGTTGAGATTTTGAGAATGTTGCCCACCAAAGCCTGACCCGCTAAAAATCGCCCCTACAAAAACCCTTTGTCCGTCAAAGTCTGTTTCACCTATTCATTTACCCTGTCCCACCTTAAATCCGCCTTTTTTTAGTTGATTATAGTAATCTTTATGGTTTTATTTTATACTTTTATTTGTGAATATATGTATATTTTTCGAAGTAAATTTTGTTAAAAAGATGCTTTATAATAAATTGCTCTAAAAAATAAATGAAAAATCTAATTAAAATGTATAAAAAAACAAGTCGATTAATCTATTAAAAAATGAAAAATAATTAATTAAAAAAATAGGCGGGCAAGCCCGCCACCTTGGTGGAGCGAGCTAGAATTTTATGCCCATTTTTACTTGGCGGGCTTGCCTGCCCAGCTCTTTTTTTGGTGGGTGTTGTACCCCAAAATTTTCCCTCTCATTTCTCAAGGAAGCACCCTCGATCCTCAAGTTTTCTTCCATCCAATTCCAAGCCTTGAACTGCAATTTTTCAAGAAAAGTCATCCGCAAGGGAAAAATGGTCATTTGCATGCTGAGAAGTCTAACTTTGACTTTTAGATCAAAATCAAATCTCAAAAATCATATTTCATCAAGACATGTTGGAATATGAAGTTTGTTTCATCAAGAATTTCAAATGTCAAATTTTACTTTGGAAAAGTCAAATTCTAAATACTTAGAAATTTTTCTAAGTGTTTAAGAAGCATGACAAAATTCAGAACTTCTGACCAGATTATCACCATAACACTCAGTAAATTCTGGACACTCTCAAGGCAGAGTTTGGTCAAAACTTCTGGGCAAGTTTTCACTAGAGCTTCAGTCAGAGTTTGCCAGGGTAATTCAAAGAAGGTTAAGAAGCGTGCTGCAAGCTTTCTAGAAAG